TCTATATGGGACTAAGATCCGTATTTCACATAAGTATGGATTGTTACACCCATCCTTATACTATTTAGGTAGACATCTAATGTCGATCACATCCAATGTGACTCTTAGATCCTCTTATGAGATTATGATATCAAATATCATTGCATACTCGTCTCATCTGTACCGTTAAGTCTCAAGTCAAAACTTGACAACTTAATCTAAGGTAAACCATATTCAAGCTGTGGGAACCATGATTTCCCACCCTGCCTCACAAAGATAATCCGGCACGCTCAGCTTTGGCATGACCCGTGTTACGGACGATCGATGCCTTGACAGACGCTCTAGCAATGGGAGGTACACACTTAGCATTACATAAATAAGGGATTTTCGAAACCACACTTAGATCAAGCATCTACTTTCAAGCTATGAGAACCACCATTTCTCCATCTTGCCTCACCAAGATAATACGGCACACCCAGCTTTGGCATGGCCCATGACACGTACGATCGAGGCCTTGACAAGTGCTTTACTCGTAAAGCTTCTAGATCTAATCGGTTTCTGTGTAACGATTGTTCATAATCCGAATGGACAATCCAATCGATTATACAATCCCAATCCCGAAACTCCCACTCAATCAAACATATATAATATCTTGATTAAGTTACATACATTCATTCACTATGGACCATCCATAAGAAAGAATCAGGTTATTCTGAATCACAGTTGATTGGTTTTAAGCAACAATTGCTCAAACCAGATCCCGAAACAAAAAATCAAATTTTGGTGAAGCTCAAATGTAAATACATTTATCAAATGAATCATTGCAAAGTGTTGATTTCTCAAATCCTAGATTACTTTAAAAGCATCTAAACCATAAATAAAAAACCATAATATTCCCTAAATAATTTTTGAGTTCGAATAAACCCTAGCCGAAAATGAGGAACAGTATTTTTTTTTGTAATTAGTAAATATTCAGTAAAAATTTATGAAATCAAACTCTGATATCATGTCAAAATTTGTGGAAAATAAAACTTTGTTTTATTATTCATTCAACTAAATAACATAATAAAGAGTTTAAATCTCACTAATAAACTACAAACTAATATAGAATTATAATATTTTCCGATAAAATATAGAGATCCATATATATCTCTAATAAATACCTATAGATATCCGAATATGCTCGTGTATGTGTACAAATATCAAATATTGATATCGGAATCTTTTGGATACGAATTGGAATATCCTAAATATTCTATTTCTACCCGTGTCGCCCTATTAAAAATTACTAGAAAAAAATCTGATACTGCCGAATCGTTATTAGGAGCCAGAGTTTTTCTTCCCATCCTATAATTCTACCACCCACACTTGGATTTGTTTTCTGAGTTGCCTGATTATAGATTATAATTGTGTCTTTTACATCCAGATTTTACCCTTAAATTGATAAAATGATTTGATTTCTTATTCGTACCCTAAAGATAATATATTCGAGTCACTTTTTTTTTTAGAAAATTCATATACTAATGAAAACTATTTAGCAAAATAAATAAAAATATTTAAAATTAAAAAGTGTACGCGGATATTTCGATTAAGAAGTTTAAATATCGAATTGAGATAGAGCACAGTACTAATATTCAAATTAAAAATGATTACATGTGTTTAAAAAAAATCACTTTAAAATATAAACGTAAAACATATCAAATAACTATTTTTAGAGAACTTGAAAAAAAGAAAAACAAATTAAAAACGAATCCAAACAAAGCACCGTAAATGGTAAGTGATAAATGTTAAACCCTAAATACAATACAATAATAGTAGGCAAAGTACTCAACACATTAGGGTTCGCATCATGCATTGTATTTATATATCCATCTCTCAGTTTCTTTATTATTATTTTTTATTTTATCATATATATGAGATTTGACTTTTATGTGTTTATTAGTAATAGTATGTTTAATCTTTTCATTTTGGTTTTTGTATCACTGCAGGTTCTACATATCCCTCATTTTCCGTACATAAGAACCATGGCATATCGATATATTTCCCTAATAGTCCAAAGTCCAGCCTTTGTTTCCGGGGCTTGTAAAATAATATCCTATTGAGAATTTAGAATGCTTCTTCTTCACATTCTCTCTCTCTCTCTCTCTCTCTCTCTCTATATATATATATATTTCTCTCTCTCTCTACAAAGACTCACCAACTCGATATATATATATACATATATATATATATATATATATATATATATCTGTACAAAGACTCACCAACTCGACCAAAGGCTGAAGAGAGCAAGATCGAGATAGAGATTAAAGAAGATACACTTCACTTGGGTTCCATGTCGGCATCATCAAGCTGTTCGAGCTTCTTCGGCCGGACGGAGCGCCAGAGCCAGAGAGTAGAAGGCGGCGTGGGAAAGTGGGTGGTGAAAGGTTGTGCGGCGGCGTTCTTCGCGTCGTTGGAGAGGCTCTCTTGCATTAGGATGGCCACCCACGGGGATGAAGACGATGACCATGCAGACGACGTCGTCCCGTTGATGACGAGCAAAGGTGCGTAAGGATTCGGGTCTGACTAATTCAAGTTCGATCAGAATTTTGCTAATAAACTCCTATGTTTACGAGATTGTCTGTTATCAGCACTCTTATCATGTAAGGCTATAAAAGCTCGAGTTTGTTTTCCAATAAACTGTAGCCCAGAAAATTATGCATTTTTTCATATGATATGGACTACGAGTTTGGTGGGGAAGGAGAATGCATTCGTAAGTGTATGTATGTATATCTATTGAGAATTATAAAGAGTTTACATTTGTTTTTTACGTAATTCATGATACATACATAAACATATGATCGTTTGTTTTGGACCCTTTTTGCTTTTAGATCTCATATGACAATTGTTTATATTGTATTCGAGATCTCAGCCTATATATATACTTCTAAGCCTAAGATGATAATTTTACCGCATTAATGATGATTTTTAGTAGGGTGTCAAGTCCGGCACAACCCAGCCCAAAAAATAGCGGATTTCAAACCTAAATATCTCAGCCCAAAAATTTTTGAGTTTTCGAGTCGGGTTCAAATCGGACTTCAGAACGGTTCGAAAGCCCAATTTTTTTTTCAAAAATAAATCTTAAAAGACAAATTTAGCGGGTGAATCTAACTCAACCCGACCTGAACCCAAACCCGAAATCTATAGAATCGAGATTCTGACTTGGTTATTTAGACCCAAAAAAAATATAACTGGCCCAAACCCCAGTCCTAAACCCTTGAGCCAAGTGCAGATTTGGACCGGATCGGTCTAATTAACACCCTAATTTTTAGTGTGGAGAACAGACAGAGAAGATTATTAACATCATTAAAAGCAAAAGAGGAGTGGGTGTGGAGATGGGGAAAAAAAGTTCTTCGAAAAAGTTACAAGTCGCGATTAGCATTTGATCATAACATTCAACTACTTCAAAACTCGTTCGTTTAGGAATAGCAAAACGCATGATTAGCTTCCATATTATTATGTCACGAAAAATAAGTTTAAAATATCATTTTTAGAGACAAAGGTACGTAAACATTGACCAAAAACTTGTTCCTAAGACTAACATGAACAAAAGATATATGGGAAAAAAAAAGGCAGATAAGTAATGCATTAACATACATATATAAGAACCTAGCAAAATCAAGTCTAAAAAAGAAAGAAAAAACATTGGCATTCCAAGACTCTCAACAGGCATTTCTCAATTCAGTAGCATGAGAGCTCAAAGAATCTATCTAACAACACTTTTTGTCAGAAGATCTCCAAGAAGGAAGAATCTCAACACAACACACGCTGTCTCTCTTCCGACAAGACATGAAACATATTATCTATAGCAGTTGTAAGAGAAAAGAGATCATCATATGGTCATGAGGAAACACTGGAAAGCCTTTGTATAAGACATTGGCTTACCTAAAAAAAACACTATTAGTCACCGGTAAGGGTTTCGGGGTTTTAAGACGGGACGTGCCAGAGAGTTTAGTTTACCTGATTTCCCCATCCTCGCCAACCTCTCCATCTTCTAGCTCCTCGTTACCGCTTCTACGGGAACTATCTCGATGGTCCCTCTTGTGTCTTTTATGCCGACTTTCACCATCTGATTCGGGTGAACGAGCATGCTGACAAATACACATACCGAGAAAATTTAATTCCAACGGGATTTGAAAGCTTAGTAGGTTCGCGAAAAAGAAGTACGGTGGATACCTGTCTTGATTTTCTGCGGTCACTGCCATGTTTTCGAACTTTCTTGGGTTCTTCTCGGTCATCCCTCTCAGAACTTGCATCATCATCGGAATTATGGTGCCGTCTCCGATGTTTTCTGCTTCTATCTTTTCCCTTTCTTTTGTCCTCTTTGTGGCTTTCTGTCATAATATCTGCATTCTCGCTATCCGTCTTTCCCTCTGTCTTTTTCGCGTTCCCTCTCCTTTTCTCTTCTCTCCTTCCGCTTCTCTTTCTCTTCCCTCTCTTTGTCTTTCCTCATCTGCAAATTTCCAAAACTAAGTCAATTTTCAAGACAAGAAGACGAAGCATGGCATGACAGGATTAAGCTGCACATCATGAAACCTTTGCGAATACTTTCTGTGCACAAATAAATGCCACGTTCTGGTTTAGGTTGGATTAAATCTTAAGTCTACTGGTAGCATTGAACAGGAAACCACAACAAAAGTACGGGACACATCTACAATGATATTGTACCTTTTCCTCCTCACGCTTTCGCTCCTTTTCTTTAGCCTCTTCCTGTAAGGCCGCTATGTATTCCTCAAAAATCCCTTTGCAAGTATTTTCATCTCCAATCGATCTGATGCAAGCCCAGAAGGGAGGAGCAATGAATAAATGAACAAGGATTATCCAGTAAGAACAATGAAACATGCCTGCTTAAAGAAGTGTTTACATGTACTCTTGGCTCTCTTCAAATAGAGATATGCTATCTTCCCAATTTGAAGTTGCACTTATTTCCTGAAAGAACGAGCAAGCATGATTAGTGATCTACAGAACCTAGTCGTATAAATGTAATGGGCACAGCTAAGGTTATACCTTAATAGTATGCAACAGTTTGGTGAAATCTTCAGACAAACGCTGACGCTTTCTAGCCTCTTTTTCTTCTTTTTCCTTTGCTCTCTCAAACAAATCATCGTATACAAGCTGATAACAAGGTAAATCCAAAGAGTTAAAGATCAAAGTGATAAGGTAAACAAGAAATTATCTCCAGCCCTCTCTCTATATTCTTGTTCCAAGTATTGTTTATATAATAATTTGACATTTTTGTTAAAGTGTACTTATATTAAGAATCCTCTTAATAAAAACTTTTAGAAATTGATTCAAAAACCCCTTCAACAGGTCGATCGGTAGTAGCTCTGCCAGTTAAAAAAAATGTTTGAATTCACTCAATATAATTAAAAGAGAAGTTTGAACCAGTAGCTTGCGTGATTGCAGCCAATGTACCCACGAATCAAATAACCGCTTTAATTAATCCATCTATCTTCTAACACTTAACGTGCAATCTGACTAGCATTACATACCTTTAGGTTAATGTCTGATACCGGTTGAGAACCGAGATCCTCTGAAAGAGCAGATTTGAAGTCTTCAAACGTCCATGAGCAGCCTATGGAAATCTAGTAGATAAAAGGGTTAGAGGTAGGGGTGGGCGTTTCAACCCGTAACCCGGGGGTTTGGGGGTACCGGCTTAACAAGTACCCGGAGAAAGGGTATCCGGATATTAACGATGATGAGACCGGGTTTAACGAGGCCGAGTTTTTGACCCCCGGATCCGGGTTTGGGTTTCGATTAACTCATAACGGGTACCTCCGGGGGTATCCGGATATTAACGATGATGAGACCGGGTTTAACGAGGCCGAGTTTTTGACCCCCGGATCCGGGTTTGGGTTTCGATTAACTCATAACGGGTACCTCCGGGTACCCGATATATTAATTAAAAATTAAAATATCTTTATATTTATAACATTTATATAAGGTATTTTATTATTTATTAAAATATTTTTATTTTATTTAATTATTTTCTATATTCTCAATCTTTCTAATTTATGAAATCGAATTTATAATTTATAAAATCGAGTTTTGAATGTTGTTTAAGTTATTTTTATTGAATTTTATAAATTATAGAATATTTGAATTATTTATTTATGAAATCCGGATACTGTGAGTACGAGACTGAGAATCTCATTGAACCCGGGTTAGGGGTACCCGGATCTCATGAAGTCAAGAATGAGATAATTTTTTCGTAAAACCCGTGATGATGAGACCGAGATCGGGTTTCCTAAAAAATGGGGGTACCCGACCCGTGCCCACCCCTAGTTAGAGGAGGATTTGATGAAAGTATCACAAAATGCAAGACAATGCCTTAAGACTTACCTTCCTTGACTTCATAGCATCCTTTATACAGCTTTTATCGTCATGATACTGCAATTTGTAAATTAAGAGTTTAGTTTTGACATCTTTTGAGTTCAAGATAACCTAGAATAATTAAACCCCAGAAACAGGTATACGATATACTCTGCTCTTCTCCAAATTACCTGTTTCTCTAACTCTTCTATCACATCTTCAAACAAGTCCTTTGGAGTGGAACCAGAGGTATTAGATGCAACAGCTTGGTATTGAGGCAAATCTTTAACCTGCAAACAAATAAAAAAGCCATTGAGAAAAAGAATCCTACCCCGATTAGAAAAAGTGCCCAACAAAGATAAATATAAAGTCAAGCACCTTCATGCAATAATCCCGCCAGTAAGTCTTAGCTGTAAGAATTCCAGCTGCAACATGGTCTTGCATTAGTGTACGAAATGCATCGCGGTTTTTTCTCTCAGCTCGCCTTATTTGTTCCTAATTGCAGACGGCAATAACAATGTGAACACAGAGATAATAAGAAAAAATTTCATGTGCTCACAACCATGATAGTGATCTTACTTTCTCTACCCTCTTGTGCTCCTCTTCTTCCTTCTCCAAGTCAAAAACGTATTCCTGCAATAACCAACATTAGAATATGATTCAATTACGAAAACACTTAAAGATGAAGTTGCTTACTTCATAACCAATCAGTCGATCTATTTTTTCAAGACGTAAGCATCTTTCATCATCCTCCAGTAGTTCTTCAACTTTCCGCCATTGTGAAGTAACCTTCAAACAGGTATGGTAAAAACATTATATTAAATCTGACTCAAAATGGTTTGTATACAATTGCTACTCAAACAGTGAAGTACCTTGATAAAGTCACAGGTTTCAAGAAACTTCCGGTATTCAGCCATGTTCTGTCGATGTTCCTCCACAGCTTTTTCTCTTTCCTGCAGATTTATTTTACGAATTATGAAACTAATAAAAAATCATAAAGCTGCTTTTATATAGTAAGAATAGATCCCATTCTCTATGGCAGAGATCCAAAAGCCATCCAACTGGTGCTCCATCTTTTTTACCTACCCAAAAGGTGGACAATCTGCCATTACTTGCCATAACAAAGACATATACTCCCATGATCACATTCACAGCATGCTATAAAAGCACCATCCGGACAAAGGTATTAAGCAACAGAAAAAATCATTTGTCCTGAATTATCAATTCTCAAGCATCCCTTGTTTTTGGTGAGCGGTAGTATTCTATCTCACAAAAACATAATTTCCAACAGTTATCTAGAATGCCAAACAGTTACCTTCTTCTCAAGATCCAACATGTAGTTCTCAAAAAGAGCTTCACGATCCCTTGTGCGTTCAACAGCTTTAAAGCGCTCATCATTTTCAAACAAACTTACAGCTTTGCTGATGAAGAAAAAATCCCAGTTAGAGTATATTCTTATGCATAAAACAAAAAGATGAACACAAAATCCAAACTTCCTAGAGCAAACCGAAAGTCAAACCTCCACTTCATGCTCGATGAAAGTTCTTCACATTCCTGAGGACAAGAATCACAACAAATAAGCGAGGAATAAGCACCATAATGAACAAACCAAATAAATAACACCAGAAAATGAAATTTAACTCAGACAACTCATACTTCTAGCATCTTGACAAAATCTTCCCGAGCTTTCTTCTGTCTCATCCGCCTTTCCTCAGCTTCCACTTTTTTTCGCTGGCCCAGATACTAGAATGCGGTTCAAAAAACATGTGTAAGCATAAAGCTTCTAAAACATAAATTGTCAGGTAGAAGAAAGCAACAGCAAGAACCAAGTGAATGCAACTTGTGTATAGATTTATTTACCTGCCACATGCCACAAAACTAATAAACTACATACCTCGTTAAAAGCCTGTTTCCGCTCACCAAGTGTCCTCAAAGCACTGTATCTTCTATCATTGACAATCTCTTTCATCGCCTGACACAATATAATAAGATGAACAATGAAGCTAGAAGGTAGTCGAGGAGAGAATTCAGCACATGTATGTAGGCTGTACACAAACAAACATGTTATAAACAATGTGAATTCAGGTTACCTGTTCCCAAGTCCAGTCAGACTGAACATTTACAGATTCCAAAAGATGCTTGAAAGCAGCCTTGGCCTCCTAAAAAAGATAAACCAAGGGTAGGACAAGAGAAAGATGACAACCCACTATAGAATTCTCGGAGGAAGAAAAAAGGGACAGAAAACTACCTGCTTAGTAGCATACATCAAGGGTTCATCCCCATTTACTTTGTCTCCAGTAGGTGGGAAACTGGTTTTTCCATTCACTGCAATCCCCTTGTTCTCTACCTGCCAAAATACTAGAAAGAATAAGACAAATAACCAAAGGAATCGCATTCTAGAAATGATATTCATGATTTCGATACCATTTGATCATCACAACCACCCTACATATTGAGTGACCAGTGTTTGCCAGACAAAAATCAGAAAATTAATATTGACCTCACTTATATGAAGTCCAAACAGAAAGCAAGGAAGAGGATAACTAGGCGAGAAAAGAGAAGGAAATTTAGACAAAAGCCATGCCTCGATGTTGTGTGCTGGAACTCCACCATTAGGACCAGTAGCACCCTGATACGATAAATTATCTGCTTTCCTGGTAAAGAGTGCACACCAGCTAAATTTGGAAACCTTCTAAGCACATTATAATCCATAAACTATCCAAAAGCAAAAACATACATTGACGTAGCCCCAGCATTGCTAGTTGCAGCAGATGTTGGAGTAACGGGGACCACAGAAGGAGGGTGACTGACAATTACGGCAGTTGAAGTTGGAACCGGACAAGAAGACTGTGCAGGTAATGTCACAGAAGTGGTGGGAACAACAGAAGTGACAGTAGTGATAACTGCCAGATCTGTTGAAGACACAGCTTGAGACTCGGAAATAGTTCCAGCTTCTGACTGGGATCCCTGTGCAACAGCTCGTTGGGCCTGTTCACGAGCTAACTGCATAATTTAATTAGGCAAATTAAAAACAGGCTTACCCAGAGAGGACAGGTGAAGAAGAGTGTGATGAAGTCACAAACCTTCAGTTCTTCAGGAATAGTCCACTTAGATTCCTTTGTATCCTTGTTATAATAATACCTAGAAGGCAATGTAATGTTAAGACAAAAAAAAATTGAACACAATAATAGAAGGTCATGCATAAAGAATGCCTGCTGAAAAAAAAAAGATACATACTTTCTTCCTTCAGGTGTTGTGAATTCCTTCCATACAGTGGATGCATCAGCTCTCTGTTAGTAAAAAGGGATTGTTAACCGTATAGAAACTAAAGAGAACTGTGAATAACCATGATAAATAGTATTATCATTGCTACGCAGGATCTGATGAAAGAAAACATGCATATTGACAATGAAAGCATGTTTGAACAATAGCATATTCCTTCTCCACACATCGAAAGAAAAATGAGACGCAGAAACATGGCTTACACTCACAACAATCCGATAAGTCATTACCAAAAGAAAGCATCCCCTAGGACCCTACAATATATACTAGGCAGAAAGTAACGGAAAAGTATTGTTCGTTTTGATAAATTCAAAGCCGCCTTCAGATGAGCACATAGCAGTTGTTAAATATCCCCAGACTTGCCATGGCTTCTACAAACTAGTCGAAAAAGAATATGCATATGAAGGAGAATGCAAATGAAACAAATATGTTCATGCGCATCATGCAACATGTTTTCACAACAGTAATATATAACATCAAAGGGAACAAAAGCATAAGAAGTATGCCTAAAAAATCAAGCAGGACAAAACTTATCCTGGAAGACTTGTTACATTTGAACTCTCACCTCGAGTGGTGTCATCAATTCATGAGGTTTCTCCCAACTGGATTGTTTAGTCCGTTTATTGTAATAATACCTAGAAAGACAAACATTTCTCAGGGAGGATCAGACAATTAATTAGATCTGAAAGATCCAAACCATGAAATGCATGGCATGGCCACATGAAATATAAATAAGCACATGAAGGATCTATCAAAGTCTTCAAAAAAGGACTTAACTATGAACCATGCGCGGTTAACTGATGATCAATTCCTAATGAAAAATGTACATCTACAAACTTAGACTTTTAAAACAAAAGACTGAAACTTAGGAACAAAATCAACCTAAATCTAGAACAAAAGTGCAAGAATATACTTTCTCCCATCAGCTGATGTATGCTCCTGCCACTCAGATGCAGTCTGTGGAGTCAGGCTTGCCTAATATTGAAAACCGGAAAAAGAAAAGGAAGAAATAAAGCGGTAGAGTTAGGTAGTTAGAGATAATAAATAAAAAGAACGATAGTGCTCAAATAGGATCCAGCAAGTATCAGAACCACGAAAAATTATGCTTAATTATTTGGAGCTACATTCTGAATTTAACACTCAAATAAGTTGAGAGACTTCATTGTGCAAAGTAAAATTACAAGTGGTAAACACCATAAATAACAAAATGCAAATTGGTAAGTTAAGTTGTTCTCGAATCACAGGTATAGGAAAGCTGTCAACTTCACAATATCTACGATCCATGCAGCTATATATGATACCAAGACTGTAATGTAACATAAATTCTCAGTTGACTAAAACAATGACTTTACACTAGATAGCAGAGATGGAAATGTATACGAGTGAGGAAACACATGTTTCTCATGGGCATTGGGCACAGTTAAAATTTAAAAATAACACTTACTGGATCTGTAGAAGCAATAATAACTGGTGTTTGTTGACCAGTCGTCTGTGAAGGGAGCACAGGTGCTGTACTTTGATTTCCGGACACCGCCCAAGACGGTGCAGCTGGGGGGACACCACCTGGTGCCTGAGAAGTTGGTTGGACCTGGGGTGGTGCTTGATGCTGACCATAAGATGATGGTACAAACTATGAGAACAAAAACCCAGGAAAAACAATGAAGCAAAACAGATTGGACGTCCAAAACAGAATTAAGAAGGAAAAAAAACAGAAATCTCACCGTATATGAAGAGGAATATGGTTGTCCAGGAGCACCATAGTTTCCCATTGTAGGAGCGTTTGGCTGTGGTTGAGTAGATCCAGATGTAAGAGCCCTGTTTGTTTGAATATTTGGCACAGATACAGCCTGTGATGAGGATGTAATATGGCCTGGCTGACCTGGTCTCACTGTAAAGAGCTGCTGCATCGGCTGAGAAAACTGTGGAGGCTGACTCTGAACACCCGGCATCCCGACGTTAGGAGGTACATGTCCAAAGGGGTGAAAAGGCTGCGAAGCCATGGGAACAAAGGGCTGACCCTGTTGTCCGGGAACCATTGGTCGGAACTACAACAGAAAAGAATTCACAATGAAATACAATTAGTCAGAGAGTATGGGAATTCACAAGAAGAAGACCCTTTACAAACAAGGACTAGCTCAAACGTTTTCACATAAAAGATGAACAAGGAAAAAGGGTAACGTAACCTAGACCCATATAAAAAGCAAACCATTTTTGTAAGAGAACAACACTCTAGAGATCTCACCAAAAGAATATTCCAGTTACCAACTGGAAAGCCAAACCTTAGAAGTTTTGGGTGACAAGTATCCCTAACAGAACCTCTCTTCTATAGCTTTCAGACAGCTAGACAAAAACATTAAGCTCAAAACTTCACTAAAAGAATGGGAATGCATAAAAATCCTCGAATTCAACAACTATGGCATATCATGATTCTAAAACAAAGCCACAAAGCAGAGTATTACAATCGAGCCCATTCAAGTTCACTTTCTAAGATGAAAAAGGATTAAGGAGGAAGCAACTTTTGCAGTTCCCAACCTGGGCACCAGAAGATGGCGGAGGATTATTCGCCATTGCTACAAATAAAGGTTCCTCCTCAAACTGCTTAATCTGAAAAAAGAAAAGCAATTACGAAAAGTAAACAGGTTTTAGCTTTTCAGTCGAAATCGTCAAATTCCATGAACACGGCGTTAGCTTCAAGCATGAGCAACTACGCATGTGGCGAAATAGGATAACAATAAAACAAAGAAACGCAAAACCCTAATCAGCACTACAAAAAAAATGCAAAAAAAAAACCACGTACCAGGAAGATCTAGAGATTCCTCTAATTCCAAATTCGCAGAGGAACACCTCCGATGATCGAAGGTGACAATAATTCAAACCCTAGTTTAAGAGAAGCCTCGGTACTAGACGAGAGCAACAATCGAGCAAAACTATGCGAATTGCGAAGAACCCAGCAAACGGCAGAAGTCAGCCAAACAAGAGACGCACAAAACATCAAGGTGTTTCCAACTCAGAGACAGAAACGGCATGTATGCGGGAGCTTCTACTAGTATTGATTTTTTTCTCTTACATATCCCTGTAGTTTGGTTGTTTTTACAAATTTTCCACGATGTTCCTAAAACATTCGTCTTCAAATCCGAATCAAACTCAAATAAAAAAGAAAATCACTTAAATTCAATATAAATCGATTATATATAATTTTTAAAAATAAGAAATTTGAATATAAAAAAAAAAAACCGAACCAATCCCCAACTATCTATAAAAACTCTTTAATTTAGCAATTTTAATTCAACAAATCAGATGGCTTTCAATGAAATACCTTCGTATTTGTATAAAGATAAAATATTATCGAATTATATTCGTATAGCTTCTGAAATGGAAAGATAGGATACTATTAAAATAATTTTAACTGAATTTATCAATTAATTGAAATTTATAAACATAATTTTTTATTTTATCATTTATATGTATTTATTGAAATAATATTAATTGAATTTAATAAATGTAAATAAAAATTTGTTTGAATTAAAATCAAACTCTTTAGAATTTTTAAAAAGTAACACCTATATATTTATATGTTTATATTATTTTAGAAAAGAATTCTATCATATACATATATACATATATATATATATATATATAATCAAAGAAATAAATAAATTTTTAATTTGACACGTAAATCACATAATTCGTCAGAATTTTTAAAAAATTGTTCACTGCATCCGATTTTTTACATTGCCACGATATATGAATTCACATGAATAAAAATTTTAAAAAGTGTAACATAATCGAACATATGCGTATACATATATATATTGATGTATATACACATATATACGTATATACATACAGATACATTTATATATTTATATACACACACACAGAAACATTTATACACATATATATAAACTGTTGAACGTACAAGTACAATATCAAATAATACATAATTGTTCTTTTTATTATCGTCAACAATAACATACTTTTAATCCCAAATTTATTTAGAATAGTACGCATACGCATTAATTTTAAAACTTTAAATAGATGATATAGTATAGTTTAATAATTCTATATACTTAACCTCATATACCACTCTCACTCTCACTGATATATATATATATATATATATAATCAAAGAAATAAATAAATTTTTAATTTGACACGTAAATCACATAATTCGTCAGAATTTTTAAAAAATTGTTCACTGCATCCGATTTTTTACATTGCCACGATATATGAATTCACATGAATAAAAATTTTAAAAAGTGTAACATAATCGAACATATGCGTATACATATATATATTGATGTATATACACATATATACGTATATACATACAGATACATTTATATATTTATATACATACACCATAGAAACATTTATACACATATATATACACTGTTCAACGTATAAGTACAATATCAAATAATACATAATTGTTCTTTTTATTATCGTCAACAATTACATACTTTTAATCCCAAATTTATTTAGAATAGTACGCATACGCATTAATTTTAAAATTTTAAATAGATGATATAGTATAGTTTAATAATTCTATAAAAAAAAAAGTATAATTTCTTAAACAGCCAAATAAAGAACATGATTCTACAAAGAACCCATGACAAATAGATAAGAATGTAGGATAAGGGATTGCAGTTTTTGGCATTTCCCCTTTCGTAACCTTCCCATAATTCCCAATTTACTCAGACAAAAACAAAAATCAAGTAGGGTTCCACAAAATGGGTCAATACAGTACAACATTTTCCGAATTACACAACCCAACTGTCCCGGTTTCCTTAAAAAAAAAAAAAAAAAAAAAAAAAACATAAATCCCCAACCCATCACATGAGATGAGATGCGAATGTCGTGTTAAAAGGCAAGGTTTTGGTCCCTTGTTGACAAAAGCCTTGAACCCTAATGTTTTACAAAAGGACACAACACCTAGAAGATGAAAGTACCCAGCAAGACAGATGTCAAGGAAACAGTGAGGTTGTCGTCTATATCGGTGCTTATGGGTAATGACTCTACCACGGCCGAAGCAATCGAGACTACCAAGAATCTAAGAATCATTCCCCAACTCTCCTCCATATATCCGAATGAAGCGAAGTAGCGCATGTACCTGTTCACATTTTCCTCTTCTCGTCACCCACCCGCAAAAGCAAAAGCAAATCCATATGCAATACTTTTACTCAGACAAAAACAAAAATCAAGTAGGGTTCCACAAAATGGGTCAATACAGTACAACATTTTCCGAATTACAAATTTGCGGACAACAACACAGATTTCACAACAACAAAAAAAAAAAAAAAAAAAAAAAAAACCATAAATCCCCAACCCATCACATGAGATGAGATGCGAATGTCGTGTTAAAAGGCAAGGTTTTGGTCCCTTGTTGACAAAAGCCTTGAACCCTAATGTTTTACAAAAGGACACAACACCTAGAAGATGAAAGTACCCAGCAAGACAGATGTCAAGGAAACAGTGAGGTTGTCGTCTATATCGGTGCTTATGGGTAATGACTCTACCACGGCCGAAGCAATCGAGACTACCAAGAATCTAAGAATCATTCCCCAACTCTCCTCCATATATCCGAATGAAGCGAAGTAGCGCATGTACCTGTTCACATTTTCCTCTTCTTGTCACCCACCCGCAAAAGCAAAAGCAAATCCATCAGCTACCTGCGGTCTCCGTGTCTGCTCATCGACTTGATTGTTCCTTCGTCGTGGTACACTCCAAGACCCAGCAGCAGCATCCGTATTATATTGACTCCAGGGACGAGAGAAGCTAAAACCGCCCCTTGGAGCCCAGAGCTGAATATGATTCTGTCGGTCAAGCTGGGCGAGGCAAAAATTGTCCATATAACCATTTTCTACGCGGGCATTACCTGAAGAGTGGCCAGCACAGCATAAAAACTAGCCCGATATTTATATGCACAAGCTTCCGGATCAGAGTCTGAAAACGACGGGAAGATGCGGAAAACGTCAATGGCAGAAAAGGGAGTTCCACAATCACAGACTATGGCCCAGCTGTTGTTCTCTCTTGCAGCAAAAAGAGAATTAAGCAATCATAAAGAAAACCAAGCCAAAGTCCAACATCATATCAATGCACTTAGAATAACATCAAGAACACAGTTGTTGTTCCCTCTTATAGGATAGGGATGGGCACGTGTCGGAGTACTCAAAGTAGGTTATCCGAGAAACAATTTTTGGATACCCACAAATATCCGAATTCGATGAGTCTTAACTATATTCTGATTAAAATTTTATAAATTCATAGATTATATACCAATAATTTATAAAATCATTAAAAATATGTTTATATCCAAAATAACTAAGATCATAAGAAGGTAGATTTTTATATACCCAGAAAAAAAAAACTAGATAATTGATATCTACCTTCATAAATTTCTAATAACTCATATATATAATAGTTATTTTTTACTATTCGGATATCCGCGGCTAATTACCCTATTCGAAAATATAAATCCAAATCCGAATCTGCATTTCGGGTTTTAAACATTTTAAAACCCAATCTCTATCTCATTGTAAAGAGATATCCAATTTTCGAGTATCCAACCTCAGGTATGGGTATCCGATTTTCGAGTATTTTGCCCACCCCGCTAAGCAGGATTCGTGTCCAGGAACAAAGGGCTAAAAGACTATCTACGGGTTAAAAACAACGAAGAAGTTATGCAAAAATACGTATTCATACAGGAATATTGGGCCAGATCTGGGACCAACTTCGTGGTTGCTTGATACAGCACTAGCCAAGCAAATAGCATGGAAGGAAAAAAGAATCGAGACCGCCATGGAAATTGTGTCATTTGGATTCAGAAAACGTCTGAATTTCCAGGAAACAGTAATTATTCAATGATAGGCCCAGAATTCGAGACAAAAGAAAAACCCATCCCAGATTTGGCTTCTTATCTCTTTTCAATCTTGTTTCCTAATCTATGATACGTTTTAATCCAGATTTCCATTCTCGTCACGAAAAAACTCGGCATCTGTGCTCTAAGCAAATACCTCTATCTTTTCACCTTAAACACAACTAAACCGAGACCTCTGTCACCGCCATCAATGCCATTACTAAATTCAGACCATACAAAACCAAAAACCAAAAATCAAAAAATCTTCAACCGGAAACCGAAGATTCCAACAGAAACCTCAACATATACACGCATCCGTACAGGCGTATGTACGCGAATCGAGTTACGGACCTGGTCGAGGATGCCGCGCTTGCCGACCTCCCCCCAGAAGCTGAGGCAGGTAAAGGCAACGGCGGTGGAGAATCCGGTCGCGCAGACATCTGATAGAACGAGATTTTCCGGGAACATGACGGCGACGGTCGGACAAGTCAACGGAACGGAGGTGGGAACAGAGAGCAGGTAGGGAGCGAGTAGCCATTTCTAGTTTTCTTCAACTTGATTTTTATTGCATTAATTTTATGGTAAATGGTTAGCTGCGGAGTAGAAAATTTGGCACACTTTTTTGTTTGGGTAATCTTCACACATACACCCAAAACTGTCGCACCAATTTCATTGATACACCCAAAATCATAAAAAATTATCAAATGACGCTCTTACCCTTAAAAAGTCAGGAAAAGACTATAATAACCTTAGTGAAAGAAAATGTGTATCAGTATATACACGTCGTGTGGGTAAAAAAACGCACTTAAAATAAAAAAATATGAAGCAAAACAAATTTACAGTTTTTTACTTCAAAATCAGAAATCAAAGAGAGATGTTGAGATAGAGATCGAGGGAGAGAATTTGTATGAAACTAAACGAACAATTTTAGATCGATTAAAACGATAAGATTCACGATCGAAATTCGAAATTTTCAGATACCTAGATAAAATTTTCTCTATAGTGATGGAGTGACTTTACGACTGTCCGACAAAGAAGAATTGTGGACGACAAGTACAGTTATGTGTTAGATTATTTTTATTCTTTTAATTGAATAGTTTAGGTTAAATTTTTTATAAAAACTACTTTTAAAACTAATAACTTATCTATTATATTATATAACATATTAAACTAATTAGAAATAATTAATAAAATTATAATACTATATATCACTAGAAATCTAGAATATAAAATTAACTGAATAAATAAAATAGAACAATTTTAATATATTAACGTTTATGCTTTTTATAATGATGGATATAAAAAAATAAAAAAAGATTGTTTTTTATAATGATTCAAAAATTAAAAATCATAAAAAAAGACGTTGAGATAAAAATCGAAAAAGTACGAAAAGTCATAAATATTACAAAGCTTATAAACTAAACCGAGTGAACTACCCAAATTTGGATATGCATGTTAATGTCTATGTTGTTTTGAAATATTTTGTGCATTGCTATCTATGTTTTATTTGAAGTAAGTTACGTTTATGGAGTATGTTTTTTGTGCTCTAAATCTATGTTTAGAATGCAAATATATTTGCTTCTATATTAACTCTTTTTTGTACACCCAGAAAAATTTGAATGAAGTATGAACTTTCATACCAACTTTTTCTCATCTTCTTCGCTCTTCCATTTCCTCTAAGTCATTTTCTTAAAACATCAAAGCTATTGGGCTCAATTCTAAATATATCGAATTTTCTCTACACAATACACAATTGATTGTTTATGGTTTGATAAAAAAAACTTTTTTTTCAAAAATTATAAATTTTTTAACAGTTTCTAACATGGTATCATCACCATTGCAAAAATCAAAGAACCAGTAAGTACCGAAGCAAGAACGTGTAGAAGAGAAACTATAACAAGAACATAAGAAAAGAAACTGCAAAAAGAGAAGAAAATGCAAGGAACTCAGCAACAAGTTTTACCAATCTTTGATGGAAGAAACTATATTTTTTGGACGGCAAAGATGAAGACAACCTTGATGTGATATCTCGAGCTATGATGGGGATTGGGAGCATTCGTCGGTGCAAATAGCACGGTCAAGGAGTGGCTCCCCGAGTACCACTAAGGTCAATGAGATATAGGAATGAATCCAACGCACCGGAATGGGAGAGATCCGATGGTTATATAGGTATGAGACTATATGGTCTAAGATAACATAAAAGAATTAGTTAAGTTACTCATAGCAACAAGGTATACCTATCTTTTCGGTTGATTGTCCCGAGAGAACTCCAAAGTTAAGTGTGTTAACTCTGTAGCAATGTAAAGATGGATGACCTACTTGAAAGTATCTCGGTATGCGTGTAAGTGAGGGCAGTTTTGACATTCTGTAAGGATCGTGGATCGTTACAAATGGTATCAGAGCCAGTACTCTCCTAGTACGTTGTGGTTCGAGGATGAACCAGGCGAAAGCTGGTGGACCTATGGTATCCCGAGCTATGATGAGGGTTGAGAGTGTTCGCCAGTGCAGATGGCACGGTTAAGTAGCAGATTCTCGAGTACCACTAAAGCCAAAGGGATACAAGAATGAATCGAACGCACCAGAATGAGAGAGATATGAGGGTTATATAGGTATAGGATTATATGGTCTAAGATAACATAAAATAATTAGTTGAGCTACTCATAACAACAAGATACACCTACCTTTTCGTTAACTATCATGAGAAAACTCTAAAGTTTAGCGTACTGACTGTGAATCAATCTAAAGATTGGTGACCTATTGTAAAGTATCTCAGTGTACGTGCGAGTGAGGACAAAACACGTGGGAAGATCTCGTTTGGCGTTTGAAGGCAGATTTGACATTCCGTAATGGTCGCGGGTCGTTACACTTGAGGTCAAGAATCCTTTGGAATGTCGTGGGGCAAGGCATCCCGCCAAAACCAAAAGTTAGTGAACTCTAACATAGGATGAAGAAAAAGCAATGGATGTTTGGGATAAGCTTGATGTTGAGATTCCTGTGATCTCTACAGCGAATCTAATTCCTAAGAGATCGATTCTAGGATTTGCGTAGCAGATGTAAAACAAAACTTTTCTAATAAAACACTAAAACCAAGCATGCATGATTTCGTAGAAACGTTAGAACACTTACCTCAATCGATCCGGGGCTTGTATATGTGTTCGTCTCATGACAAAGGCAGGAAGATTACCTCGCCCTCTACACGTATCCACACGACGGAAAGGATTCCAACGGATTGGAACTTGTTTGCTAGGATTGAAGAACTCGTTCTCCTTTGCGCAAGGGTTTCAGGAATCTTTCTCTTCGTTTTCGGATCTCAAAAACCTCTGAAAAAATTTAAGAAATCGTCCTACCAAGATTAGGAGGCATTCCCCAAGAGTTGGTTAACCCAAAACCCTAATTAGAGTGAGACAAGTAATTCTCGATGCTTGGACCAATCGGTCTGGAACTTTTTCGTGGTGGTCCCCCCCAAGCCCAAGCAGCAGCATCCGTATTACATTGACTCCAGGGACGAGAGAAGCTAAAACCGCCCGGGAGCTTCTACTAGTATTGATTTTTTCTCTTACATATCCCTGTAGTTTGGTTGTTTTTACAAATTTTCCACGATGTTCCTAAAACATTCGTCTTCAAATCCGAATCAAACTCAAATAAAAAAGAAAATCACTTAAATTCAATATAAATCGATTATATATAATTTTTAAAAATAAGAAATTTGAATATAAAAAAAAAAAACCGAACCAATCCCCAACTATCTATAAAAACTCTTTAATTTAGCAATTTTAATTCAACAAATCAGATGGCTTTCAATGAAATACCTTCGTATTTGTATAAAGATAAAATATTATCGAATTATATTCGTATAGCTTCTGAAATGGAAAGATAGGATACTATTAAAATAATTTTAACTGAATTTATCAATTAATTGAAATTTATAAACATAATTTTTTATTTTATCATTTATATGTATTTATTGAAATAATATTAATTGAATTTAATAAATGTAAATAAAAATTTGTTTGAATTAAAATCAAACTCTTTAGAATTTTTAAAAAGTAACACCTATATATTTATATGTTTATATTATTTTAGAAAAGAATTCTATCATATACATATATACATATATATATATATATATATAATCAAAGAAATAAATAAATTTTTAATTTGACACGTAAATCACATAATTCGTCAGAATTTTTAAAAAATTGTTCACTGCATCCGATTTTTTACATTGCCACGATATATGAATTCACATGAATAAAAATTTTAAAAAGTGTAACATAATCGAACATATGCGTATACATATATATATTGATGTATATACACATATATACGTATATACATACAGATACATTTATATATTTATATACACACACACAGAAACATTTATACACATATATATAAACTGTTGAACGTACAAGTACAATATCAAATAATACATAATTGTTCTTTTTATTATCGTCAACAATAACATACTTTTAATCCCAAATTTATTTAGAATAGTACGCATACGCATTAATTTTAAAACTTTAAATAGATGATATAGTATAGTTTAATAATTCTATAAAAAAAAAGTATAATTTCTTAAACAGCCAAATAAAGAACATGATTCTACAAAGAACCCATGACAAATAGATAAGAATGTAGGATAAGGGATTGCAGTTTTTGGCATTTCCCCTTTCGTAACCTTCCCATAATTCCCAATTTACTCAGACAAAAACAAAAATCAAGTAGGGTTCCACAAAATGGGTCAATACAGTACAACATTTTCCGAATTACAAATTTGCGGACAACAACACAGATTTCACAACAACAAAAAAAAAAAAAAAAAAAAAAAAACATAAATCCCCAACCCATCACATGAGATGAGATGCGAATGTCGTGTTAAAAGGCAAGGTTTTGGTCCCTTGTTGACAAAAGCCTTGAACCCTAATGTTTTACAAAAGGACACAACACCTAGAAGATGAAAGTACCCAGCAAGACAGATGTCAAGGAAACAGTGAGGTTGTCGTCTATATCGGTGCTTATGGGTAATGACTCTACCACGGCCGAAGCAATCGAGACTACCAAGAATCTAAGAATCATTCCCCAACTCTCCTCCATATATCCGAATGAAGCGAAGTAGCGCATGTACCTGTTCACATTTTCCTCTTCTCGTCACCCACCCGCAAAAGCAAAAGCAAATCCATATGCAATACTTATGTTAGTTACTTACACGACAGAAGCTGTAAACCCTGATGTCGCCATTGCGATGCTACCGGCTATCGATTTGCTTCTGTTGTAAGGAAGCTTCTCTGTTCCAAGCCGCCTTCCCACAATGTCAGCCATACCTATGTTTTGACATGTTTATCGTATCAAGAGAGGAAACACAAGGCAAGATTCGTACGTCAAAGGGCGAGTAGTAGTACATTCGGAGAGGCTAACTTCGAATGGATCGGTTATGTTGAAATAAAGAAATAAATACGGATTTGGAAAGATTGGAATTGATTTTGTATCTCTGATTGATACAATCATATATCTAACATTTATTAGATTTTGTGGTGGTGCCGGTGCGTATTTAGTTTTTTATTTCAACAAGGTAACTGTACCATCTCCAGCACAAAGGTTGCATATCACTGCAATGGCAATAGGGGACGTCCTCCAATAGAAGACACAAGCTAAAGTGATTGATGATGCATAATAAAGCGGCCCCTTAAGCAGTTCCCTGTTGCAGAAAGTAGCTACATGAGTTTTATGAAGCGTTAAAGAAGCAGAGGTACAAAGAGTTATATACTGTGCCTATAAGATGATGTGTTTGTATACGAATCAGCTACCTGCGGTCTCCGTGTCTGCTCATCGACTTGATTGTTCCTTCGTCGTGGTACACTCCAAGACCCAGCAGCAGCATCCGTATTATATTGACTCCAGGGACGAGAGAAGCTAAAACCGCCCCTTGGAGCCCAGGGCTGAATATGATTCTGTCGGTCAAGCTGGGCGAGGCAAAAATTGTCCATATAACCATTTTCTACGCGGGCATTACCTGAAGAGTGGCCAGCACAGCATAAAAACTAGCCCGATATTTATATGCACAAGCTTCCGGATCAGAGTCTGAAAACGACGGGAAGATGCGGAAAACGTCAATGGCAGAAAAGGGAGTTCCACAATCACAGACTATGGCCCAGCTGTTGTTCTCTCTTGCAGCAAAAAGAGAATTAAGCAATCATAAAGAAAACCAAGCCAAAGTCCAACATCATATCAATGCACTTAGAATAACATCAAGAACACAGTTGTTGTTCCCTCTTATAGGATAGGGATGGGCACGTGTCGGAGTACTCAAAGTAGGTTATCCGAGAAACAATTTTTGGATACCCACAAATATCCGAATTCGATGAGTCTTAACTATATTCTGATTAAAATTTTATAAATTCATAGATTATATACCAATAATTTATAAAATCATTAAAAATATGTTTATATCCAAAATAACTAAGATCATAAGAAGGTAGATTTTTATATACCCAGAAAAAAAAAACTAGATAATTGATATCTACCTTCATAAATTTCTAATAACTCATATATATAATAGTTATTTTTTACTATTCGGATATCCGCGGCTAATTACCCTATTCGAAAATATAAATCCAAATCCGAATCTGCATTTCGGGTTTTAAACATTTTAAAACCCAATCTCTATCTCATTGTAAAGAGATATCCAATTTTCGAGTATCCAACCTCAGGTATGGGTATCCGATTTTCGAGTATTTTGCCCACCCCGCTAAGCAGGATTCGTGTCCAGGAACAAAGGGCTAAAAGACTATCTACGGGTTAAAAACAACGAAGAAGTTATGCAAAAATACGTATTCATACAGGAATATTGGGCCAGATCTGGGACCAACTTCGTGGTTGCTTGATACAGCACTAGCCAAGCAAATAGCATGGAAGGAAAAAAGAATCGAGACCGCCATGGAAATTGTGTCATTTGGATTCAGAAAACGTCTGAATTTCCAGGAAACAGTAATTATTCAATGATAGGCCCAGAATTCGAGACAAAAGAAAAACCCATCCCAGATTTGGCTTCTTATCTCTTTTCAATCTTGTTTCCTAATCTATGATACGTTTTAATCCAGATTTCCATTCTCGTCACGAAAAAACTCGGCATCTGTGCTCTAAGCAAATACCTCTATCTTTTCACCTTAAACACAACTAAACCGAGACCTCTGTCACCGCCATCAATGCCATTACTAAATTCAGACCATACAAAACCAAAAACCAAAAATCAAAAAATCTTCAACCGGAAACCGAAGATTCCAACAGAAACCTCAACATATACACGCATCCGTACAGGCGTATGTACGCGAATCGAGTTACGGACCTGGTCGAGGATGCCGCGCTTGCCGACCTCCCCCCAGAAGCTGAGGCAGGTAAAGGCAACGGCGGTGGAGAATCCGGTCGCGCAGACATCTGATAGAACGAGATTTTCCGGGAACATGACGGCGACGGTCGGACAAGTCAACGGAACGGAGGTGGGAACAGAGAGCAGGTAGGGAGCGAGTAGCCATTTCTAGTTTTCTTCAACTTGATTTTTATTGCATTAATTTTATGGTAAATGGTTAGCTGCGGAGTAGAAAATTTGGCACACTTTTTTGTTTGGGTAATCTTCACACATACACCCAAAACTGTCGCACCAATTTCATTGATACACCCAAAATCATAAAAAATTATCAAATGACGCTCTTACCCTTAAAAAGTCAGGAAAAGACTATAATAACCTTAGTGAAAGAAAATGTGTATCAGTATATACACGTCGTGTGGGTAAAAAAACGCACTTAAAATAAAAAAATATGAAGCAAAACAAATTTACAGTTTTTTACTTCAAAATCAGAAATCAAAGAGAGATGTTGAGATAGAGATCGAGGGAGAGAATTTGTATGAAACTAAACGAACAATTTTAGATCGATTAAAACGATAAGATTCACGATCGAAATTCGAAATTTTCAGATACCTAGATAAAATTTTCTCTATAGTGATGGAGTGACTTTACGACTGTCCGACAAAGAAGAATTGTGGACGACAAGTACAGTTATGTGTTAGATTATTTTTATTCTTTTAATTGAATAGTTTAGGTTAAATTTTTTATAAAAACTACTTTTAAAACTAATAACTTATCTATTATATTATATAACATATTAAACTAATTAGAAATAATTAATAAAATTATAATACTATATATCACTAGAAATCTAGAATATAAAATTAACTGAATAAATAAAATAGAACAATTTTAATATATTAACGTTTATGCTTTTTATAATGATGGATATAAAAAAATAAAAAAAGATTGTTTTTTATAATGATTCAAAAATTAAAAATCATAAAAAAGACGTTGAGATAAAAATCGAAAAAGTACGAAAAGTCATAAATACTACAAAACAAAATTACAAAGAAATAGTTGCAGTTGTAACAAAAAAAGCCAGTAGCAATTATAACCGAATTCGTTTCGAATTTATGTAAAAAAAAGATGAATATCGAAATTAATTAATAAAAATCATGTGGACAAAAATTAAAATGCGGATTATTTAAAAATCTGAAAATGTGTGTATCAAATGAGAAACACTTGGAGAAATATTTGTGGCGAAATTCGTATGAAATCGATTTTATGTTTAAAAAATAAATATAGAAAGTCGTATATACTGCAAATAAAAGTGGCAAAAAAAAAAAGAGTAGGAATTTTGAACAAATAAAAGTGGGTCCAACCAAAAGTAAAAAACGACGTTTTATCTCGGAAATCGGCCACAACCAAATATTTACAACTTGACTACGACTTATTTTCCACCAACGAATTCTTTTAAAATTGTTAAAATATCACTAATTTTGACTCGATTTTATCAAATGGTGATAAAAGTATGTGAATTAAGTGATAATAATCGTTTTATATTAATATTTTCAATAAATTTAATATTTTGATATATTTTATATAATATGGTTGAATGTGTTTGTATACGTTTAATATATATTTAGTATTACCTATCAAAACTTATACCAAATTTTTAATAAAATTGTAATTTGTGATTTAAAACTCTTTCTATTGACATAATTACTATATATCTATAATCTTTCGAATAAATATCGACAAAATACACGTTTTATGAAAATATTTTTTTGATTAACGAATTTGTAAATAAATCGTAATTGAGTCATAATAAATTAGTTTTGCCAAATAATAAACCAATGAACACGTTTTTCAATGTATCATACAATTATTTTCATACGTTTTTATTTAAAATGTGTTAGGGAATTTGTGACATTTTATATGTACGTGTATATGAGCCTTTTTACCACCATTGAAGTGTAGAATCTGATAAGAAAAAATTTTATATTTGCGGGAGTGTATCAATGATAGCGGTGCGACACCCGAGGGTTATTCTTGAAGTTTCCCCTTTTTGTTTGCTTTGAAACTAAATCATGAATATCGTGTTTTATTATTATAAACTTTTTACACCTTTTTATCGAGTGAAAAATAAATAATTAACAATAAAAAATTAAAATAAATACATTTATTTATCGGAGGTCTTGTGTCAAAAATATTTTCCCGCTGTCCGTTAATTTATAAAAAATACATATTTGTCCCTCGTTGAAATCGTGTCCACACGTATAACTAGGTCGACGTTTGGTTCGATTTCTCGTAACCAAACCGTATCGAATAAAAAATTTTGATATTTTTTGTGAATGTGGCTTCTTTCTGGTGTCGGTACCCTGGACCGACTCAGTCCCAACTCGGATTTCCATTATGGGAAGAACCTCCGCACTATGGCGCTCCAATGAACAAGAGTCCTTCCAATCAGTCTAATAGTCTAAACGGAACATTATATTTTTTATACAACCGAATTTTTGGAAACCAAATCGAATTTTATAAAATTTTCGAAAAAACAATTTTTTTTTAAGAAAATCTATTTTTTTTTTAACAAAACCGAAATCGAACCGTATCAAAACCGGAACCGAACCAAACCGAATAATGTATGATACTAATTTGGTTTAAATTTTAGAATGCCAATAAATCATCTTTTAACTGAACCGCTAAAATTTTGATCTGAATCCCGAAACACCCACCCTATGTGTAATAACATAGAAAAATACGATTTTATAAGAATATGAAGGAAATGAGATGGTTTTGAAGTGAGAAAAAAACTGTAAAATGAATTCACTTTCTTCACATTTTCATTGATATCAAGCATGAAAATGGAGAGTGATGCACGAATCGAAACCGAACAGTGGAATGTACCTGTCGTGTGTAATTTGGAATTTGAAGCACAAACAGTACGTATAAGTGAATAGAATTTTGATTTTTCTAATGTTGTTAAGTTGTCATCAATTTAACAAATAAAGTTAAATTTTGAGATTTCTAATTAAAAAATATTCTGGTGCCCGAACTCAGAGAAGTTATTTATTTCAAAACCCGAACTGGAATCCGAATTTTTGAATATCTGAACTATATTAACTGTGAGACAATTTTCGGATATCCCGAATATCCGAATCCGATGGATTTTAAATATATTTTAATTAAAACTCATAAATATAGATATATATTACATACAAATAAATTATAAAATTATTGAAAAAAATCTATATAAAATAAATAGATTATAAATGATAGTTTTTACATAAATAAAAACAAAAATAAATAAATATCAATAGATATATTTGTAATTATACTATTTATTTTTTACTATTTGAGTATTCTACAGGTAATTACCCGATCCGAAAATATAAACACGAACCAGAACCTGAATTTTGTATTCTAGACATATTAAAACGTTATTTCTATTTCGTTAAAAAGCGAGTATTGGATTCTCGGATATCGGGACGGATATTCGAAATTCAAGTATTTTTAACCATCTCTAGTTTTTACTATTAATTTATTCGTGAGAGAATAACTAAGACCTTGAATATTGAGAGTTTTTTGTTTTTAGATTTTAGTTTTTGTAGTTTTGTAAATAAAAAAATGAAACTTTTGGTTTTTATGTTATGAATGGTGATAGTTTTTATTCCGAGTTTTTGTTTTTTGGTTTATAGTTTTTTCTTTTTATAGTTTTAAAAAAAATTGATTGGAAGAGAATATTTTAGTTTTTATATTTTAGATTTTAAATGTAAAATTATTTTTAATACATATTGATAAATTAAAATTTTCTTTAAAATTATAGGTAATTTTGTTTTTTAAAATATTTTATATAATTAATATTTAATAAAAAATGAAAAAATCTAACTGTTTTTTGGCTTTTTATTGAATTTTTTTAAAAATGGTTTATCGGATTTTTAGGAAAAGTAGAAAAACAAAATCTTGATTGAATATTTTTTAGGTTTTTAAAAATTAAAAACTGAGAAACCTTTAAACAGTCAAAGCCTAAGATTTAGCGTACTAAAAGAGGAATATAAAAGAAAGAGAAATGTCAAAAAGAAAAACAATTGGCAAATATAATTAAAGAGATAATCATCTTAAAAATATAAACTTCCAAAAATTAAAATATAAGTATAAGAATTTTGATATCTCTACAAAATGCATAAATTATGCAAATATTATAAACCTATGTAAACTTCGGAAATATTTTATAACGAATTTTAACAGTATTTCTAAAGTTGTTATATTTTCGTATGAATTATAAAATTAATGTACAGTATTTAAGGGTTTTTTAGGATAAAAAAATAGAAAATTTTAAACTTAAAAAATAAATTTTTATACTTTTTTTACTGAAAAATTTATTATTAAACTTATAAAATATATCACAATAATTTTTAAACTTATTAATTGGTGTCAATAAATCTAACGACGATATTGATTAAAAAACTGTTTAAAAATTATAATGATAAATTTTATAAATTTGAAAATTATAATTATGTATTTTGTAAGTTTGGTAATAAATTTGTTAAATGAAATATTTAGGAATTTATTTTTCACTATTTTCAGATTTTTTTTTTTTTGAGTTTTACACCTTTTTTTTCGAACAAATTGGGCCAAACTAAAATTGTTAAAAGTAATATGGAAAATAGCGGAGGATAACGGATGAAATGAAAAGCAAGGAAGGAATTAAGGGTATTTTTGGTCGTCTCAATGAGCGGCGGACATTTGTCTTCGTACGTGAAGTCGCCAATACGGGGAGCGGAGAACGACGACCATGACGATGCTTGTCCTCACCACTCCGACGGCGCGTGGACCTTTATCCGGCCGAAAATGCGCCGCCTCTACTTCCTCTCCCCTCAAATTCATCACCAAACCCGATTCCGATTTCTGCTCTTCTCGGGTCTCGGATTCATGCCCCGGCCTCGTCAAGCCTCCCCGGCGGCGCGTGGTCCTCACGCTCGCTAAAGCCGATGGGAGCGTTAATTCAAAACCCTCTACCTCCGTCTCTCCTCCCTCGCAGTCCCCGTTCGCTGGAGACGAGACCATTTTCGTGGGTCAGGAGAATGTTCCTCTCGAGGGCGTCATCCAGTTTGACAAACCTAGTTCTTCGTCTTCTGTGATCAGCAAATGGGGGTAAACTCTTTCTCTGAGTCTTCGCCATTTCGTTTGTGGGTTTGTTTGTTTTTCTCAATCGAATGTCTGTGAAAATTGGAATTATGCAGTCGCGTGGCGCTACTTGCCGGTGGGGACGTGTTGGCTCTGCTTCTCTTCTCTGCAATTGGGAGATTCAACCATGGACTCCCCCTGTTTAGCTTCGACATTCTGCACACAGCTGATCCTTTCATCGCCGGTATACTTTTGTTTCTGTTGCAGAACTTGTAGTGATATTGGTTTAGAGAGGTTTGATTATGATGGAATTTAATATCATATGGTAGGATGGTTCCTAAGTGCGTATTTCTTGGGGGGTTATGCCGAGGACGGGCGAGGGATGAAGGGTCGGTCTAAGGCTGTTATTGCCGCCGCAAAATCTTGGATTGCTGGAGTTCCGGTAATGCTGCAGTTTCCAAAGTAGCATTGAGAACATTTTGATCTCATAGTCAATCTGAAAGCTTGTTATGTGGTGATTTCTTCCGTTCTGCTTGTTCTTGTTTTCCATGGGAATATATGAAAATGAAGCATCCAAATGATCACGTACGCATAAACGAAAGTCATGTTTTCCTCTTGGTTTTGTTTTGCGTTGTATCGTCATGCTGATATAATTATGAATTAAACATGAACAAACCAATCATGGCTGCTGAATTTTTGTAACTCTCCGTTCATGTGTTTACTGACGTGAGAAAGCACTCCTTTTCTTGTGTAGCTCGGCTTGGTCATTAGGTCAGCTACTTCAGGGCATATTCCCCCTTCTAGCTTTATCTTAGTGACAATGGGAAGTACCGCTGTCTTGCTTATCGGATGGAGAGCACTATTATTCAGTGTTCTCCCTAATGAGTCGAAGAAGAAGGATGATACGTATAGACGAGGAAACCCATTTGAACTTTTCGAGGTTCGTATTATATTCTCTCATGCAAAGCTCAATTGTTCGTTAGCTTGTCTCGTAAAAGGGTTTTACTTGTTTTTAGCATGTTCATTACTTTATCTAAATAAGTTTTGGTTTCTTGGCAAATGGGATTCCCTTTTGTGGTCTAGTTTTTCGGTCATCTCTATATATAGATAATACCCGGCTTTCAGTGACGACCTTCTGTATTGTTTGCTTGATTCGTCTCGTCTTTTAAGTTCTAAGCTCGAGAATGCGTTTGTCTAGTCCATTGGCGACTTGCCCTTCAGAACCATGACTCTGTTTCAAATCCTTTTACTCTACAAAATTTTTCTTTCATTTAGATCGACGTTACCATACATACTCAAATGTTGATACTGATATGAGAATTCATGCATTTTTGCTGCAGCTACTCACCTCATTAATACGAAGGTGGTGAGGGAGCCTCAATCAATGTTTGACCTTTCCATCAACAGATCAGTGTATGTACTTTCCTTTGGCAGAGCTGTAAACAGGTTGTACAAGTTGTTGAATAGATTTTTGTTGATAGGAAAAATGGCCTCGGTATATCATCGGCTATACGACTCTATATTCATCATAGCGATGCTCGAATCGATATATGGCATTGGTATACAGAAGATGCAGATATCAAAAGAGATGATCTTTGGAAATGCCTCATCTTGGTAGAAGATTAGAGGAGAAAAGAAACCAGTTGGAAGGCCCAAACTGTTTCATTCCAAAGCTTAGAAGGAAAGGAAGACGACTGGACTAGAAACCGGTTTAAGGATGGCAGTTTGGTTTGGTTTGATAAAGCCGAAATCAATTCTGGTTTGGTACGGTTTCATTTTTAACCAAACCAATCAATCTGAAGCCGAATTGAAACACCTCTAAAAGGGTTCAAATGTGATTAAAGGATGTATCGAATTTGGAGATGGTTAAATCAAAGGCGATTCTCTTTTTTCCTCCTTAATCATTGATGGGCCCTAAAGATATTGATTCGGGCAAGTGGATATCTGCCAGGACAAAGGAGTGCAATGATCTTTGGAACAGTTGGGGTCCAGTTTTGCATTAGGACAACTCAAGTGGGACCCTCGATGACTCTATTTTGGATCAAAACTCTGTAGAGACTTTTATCTTCTTTAAGCTTCTTAATTTTGAAGACTCCATATTTACATTCCATAGATGAATTGTTGGAAGAAGAGAAGGTTACTGTTGCAAAATAATGTAAAGAAAAGTTTCTCTAGCCTAATATAATATATAGTAGAAAATCTTCTTATCATAAGAAGAATTTAATTTCCAAAAAAAATCCTGAATAGAAAAACTTTGGATTACATTGTTAGAGATATATAATAATAATAATAATAATAATAATAATAATAATTATAATAACAATAATTAAGAGGAATGGGCATAATGAAAAAGGAGTGTGCAGTCCACTACCAAAGGTCAAAAGCTAAGTGCATCCCCTTAAAATACCACTAAGTTTCTATGTAATTGAAATCACGCTCCTTAGCTTCCGATCTCACCAATGAAATATGTTAACGAGGAGAGAGAGAGGGAGGGAGAGAGAGAGAGAGAGAGAGAGATCATTAATTCGAAGCATCCGAAAGACATTAAGATGTGTTTGTCCGAAGAAAGACACACCATGTTTTTAATATTCGAAAAGGCATTAATTCGGATTTCCTCTTGACGTGTGTGTGTATATATATATATATAAATTCAGAGCTACATTTGTTGTAATAGCAATAATTGAGCTAAAGTACGAATTAATAACACGCTCTCCTTATGATACATGAACACATGATGTTGGAAGTTTTTTTTTTTACTTCCTTTCGACTTCCCAATAATGTTAGGAAGTTTAATTACACGTTATGATCGATCATATATATATATGATAGATATTTCACATATAATATATATAATAGATCATGTTCATAGACTAACAATTAATCTAACAAGTGAAACCTAATATATACACACACATATATAAAGCGATAAGATCTTATTATATTATACATAAGGGAACAAGAATGAGTGAAAAGGTCTCTCTTGCATCTTCATGCCTTTGAGAAGTTGACTGTATGGCCTATATATACATATATGGGTTTAAAAAATCATAGAGCATTGAAAAACGTTAGAAATAGGTAGGTGATTCTAGGTTAAAGAATGTGATACGTATAAGTGACATGACATGCATGTTTCAATTCTTTAACAAAGTCATATCTCGGACTTTGTGAATTAGATTAGGTTTTGTTGTTATTGAAAGTAAATTTCATGTCAGAGAGAGAGATCTAGAGAGAGAGAGAGAAGCATCTGATATTGGACCGTTTGAAGCTTAAGTCAAACTAGGGTTTGTAACAATAGGTATATGTGACCAAAAGAGAGACCAAAGATGATGGAGTCATCAATCTTTCCTTATACTTTCAGGATATGACTGAAGCTACTACTACTCTCCGTGCTCTCTTAGGTCATTCTTTTGCCTTTCGAATTCAAAAGAAAGGGTTCAAATGAAGAACCCTACCGGGGAAACAAGAGATAGAGAGGGAATCTATGGTGAAAGTGACACAACACAATGCCATAGATTTTGACATGTCAATGAGAGAGAGAGAGAGAGAGAGAGAGAGAGAGAGAGAGAGAGAGAGAGAGATGACCAAGATTGGAGTTAAGGTGGGATTAATGTGTGCTGCATGGAACTCTGTCTCTTAAAGGACAGTTTTCATGAGTTTTTTGTATTTAGTTTTTCAATATTATATGGAAATATTCTCTCCATACATTATTATTCCTTTGTATAGAAGAGAACTAATTCATCAAGGCAATTTATGTGCGAAAACTGTACGTCCAATCATCCCTAACGTCAGTCTTTGTATTATCTTGTAATCTATTTCTATTATAATAATGGATACGGAATTTACGCATCTCTTTTATATATGTTTTACCTCTGTATTTGATGAGATCATAACATCTTTTGAGTGTCTCATACATACATACATACATACATACGTGTGTATCCGAATGTTTTCTTTAGCTAATAAGCAAACACTTTCCATTCTTTGATAGAAAATAGATACACAAATGGCCATACATGTATGTATTTAAATTTATATACATAAAAATATTTTTTTATTTGGATTGAGTCGATTTATTGTGTTAAAAACTATATTTATTATAAAATGAAGAGTTCTATCTTAATAGAAATATATATCCTAAATCAAGAGTAAACGGATTATCAATGACAACATCAAATATTACTCTATAAGATTATGGACCAAAAATAAATGAAATTAATGTGTGATACAGATAGTAATGAGAAGACGTGAAATGGGTCAAGGGCTATGAAGAATAGTACTGTGTGGGCAGAGGGACACAGCTATAGGTTCCAAAGTAGCCATAAACAACAAGGAATGAGCACCAAATTAAAGACCTTTCTCTCTCTGTTCACACACACACAAAAAAAAAACATTTTCTCTCTCCCTCCCTCTCTCTCTCTCTCTCTCTCTCTATATATATATGTATATATATCGTTCATTGATTATAAGAATCAGAGTTTTCTTTTCTGCAGGGGACACGTGCCCTTCTCTCATTGGGGTTTCTCACTCTCTCTCTCTCTCTCTCGTATCTCTGCTTAGATTTTCTCTTGGATTTTGCTTATCTCATCTCTGTCTACAAACCAAAAAAAAATCTTTTTTTTTTTGCTTTCTTGATTTCTTTCTCCGTGAATGTATGAATCTCATTTTAAATCTTTAGATTTCAGAACAGAACGTTGTCCATTTCTGGAACCCTATTCTCGTAAAAGACCCGTTTGCTGTTTTTTTATTTTTTTCGTGTCCCTACTCCTTTGTACTATGCTCCGTTTCACAATAACAGTCTTTAGATTTTTCTCAAATTCAATATACACACACACTCACACACACCAAGCCAAAGATCATTACAAAATTTTCAAACATTATTTAGGTAATCGTACCATTGGAAGTGTACTAAATAGTAAATAGTCTAAAATTTTCATACATTGGCAAAAGAGAAGACATTATGAATTTATGATTATACATTGCTTATAATAAATCACATGGTGGGAGGGAGGGACGACGGTCCATCGTTTTTCATGATTCCCTGCAAACCAAATAAATCAAACAGTGTCTAATATGTGGTTAGGGCAACTCTCTCTCTCTCTCTCTCTCTCTCTCTCGGTATTTAAGGACATGTTACGAGAATAACGAAAGGGCTCCAATAAAGGAAAACGGCCTATGTCGTGAAAACACCAACAGTTTTCTCTTTTTTCCGACATGGCCAGCAAGAAGAATATTGAGATTGCACTCCGAATACACGTTTTCCGTTGTATTATATAATGTATAAGTCCTCTTGCTATGTATCTATAGACTCACGTGAAACCTGTTTTCGTGAAAGTTTCCCGAATCATACTGTGTGCTGTATGAAGCCGTTGCACTATAATAAATTATATCAACGTGGAACAATGGGGTTGTCAATCGGGGGTCGGCCACATTTTTCCGGGTATATATACAACCAAGCCTGAGTTTCAAGTCTATAAAATTCGGATTCGGGCTCGGGTCGGATATTGGGTCGGACCAGTGCATTCAATTCCTTTTTTAAAGTTTTTTTTAAAATTTATTAATTTTTTATAAACGAAATCGGATTTCTGATCGGCTCGAAATCCGATTTGAATCCTTTCCGAAAATGTGATTGTTTTATTAAATAATTAAGGTTGAAACCCGATATTTTTCAAGTAGACTCAGAACTTCAAATTTCAGAATAAAATTGGCACCTTCATTCATATACTAATCTTTGTATTTAGTAAAATTCGAGTTAATATACATTCACTTTGATAGATATACGAGAATATAAAAAAATCGGTTATTCCCACACATATGTATATATTAAAATACAAGAACCTTTTTTTAGAAATATAAAAGGTTTTTGCTATATTGAAGAAGTTTATGAATATATATATATATGTAGATTTTCATATATAAAATAAATTAAATAGAATAATATATCATAGTCCAATTTCAAGACTGATATATAATTTTTAAAATTAAATGAACATGAATTCACCTATAGAATGTACAAATAAAAAAATTGAAATAGCAATATTTTAAAACAATATTGTGTGCACCCACCATGACTATGTGTGTGTGTATATATATACCACGGCTCACATACATATAAAGAATTAAACATGACTATATATGTGCCCTACTAACTATTCTAATTATTAAATATGTCTATTAAATACATAGAAATATTATATTAAATACACCATGCATGTCGTTGGGCACCAATTATTTTCTTATTCATTTTTTTTAATTAAAAGAAACTTTTTTTGCCTGCATTCAAAATTTAAAATGGGAGCAGCAATGCACACTTTCTAATTTCTATTAGTTTCCAAATTATTTGTTGTTATATAGATGTTAATGTTAGTTTTCTTTCATAAGGAGATAATCATTTGTTAAGGTTTACTTTCGATTTTTTTTTTTTTGGGATCATACATGCATGCAGATGCGCACAAAGCTGTAAAATTGTGTAATCATGAAGACAGATTTTCAAACCCAAATCATTTCCTTTGAACCTCCTTTTTTTCTTTTGCAACCATAAAAATCTACACGCCCCACATGCAAAATTATACGATTTTACGTATTTTCCTCGAATAAAATTAAATAATCTTATAACGTAGATACATGCATCTGATACAAGTAAACTCTTTTTTTTTTCTTCAGTAAATTTACGTCACAACGACGTCTTTAATTCACTCACCTAAACGTTCTGGTCGGACCAATATTTTTAATTGTAAAAGCATATTAATTACCAAGTTTTTGGTATATATATATTTAAGAAAGTTGCGCGTTTTATCTTCTGCATATAAAACATGTAAATTAGTGTTAGACACAATTGTTTATCTGAAAATATTGGATTCTGAGATTTGGTATCCGAGCCTATATGTAATGTCCGAATTTTGGATTTATATATAGATGCCAAATATGAGAATATGGATTCGGATACCAAAACTCAAAACACAAATTTTCCAGATAACGACAAATACCCAAATGTTGAAAATACGAAATTCGAATTTGGATACGTCCCAAAGATGATATGTGAGTCCACATTACTCGAATATTAAAAAAAAAATTGGATAAAGGAAAGGAAAATACGTGATTAAACAGTAATGAGTGGTACAGCCTGGCCGGCTTAATTCAAGTATTTATTCATATAATAAACATGATTAAAGTTTTGGTAATTAAGAATAAAAAATGAAATAATTCCCAGCCCATATATTGTTTTCGCTTTATTTACGGGACCCAAATCCAATCTTAGACCCACTTCTTGTCGCATTGTCTGGGGAGCAGTTGTTGACTCCAATCACACATTTGCTTCGGACATTCACCGTGTCCACTTTTTCTCTATTCTTCTACTTTGTGTTTTTTTATTTTAAAATTCACTAGTTTTTTGGCCCAACCAATCTTCTGAATTCGGAGTTAATCTTTAGTCACGCTATTAATTGCGTTCACTCCTCCCCATTAGTGAAATCGAACTCAAAACCTCAAAATGATTTTGTCACATTTCAATCACCAAACCATCAACTAGTGAATGATTTCGTTGTTTTTTTATTAATTTTTTCGAACACGGACAAATCCAAATTTTCGAGTGTCCAATTCGATTCGTGAGCCAAAAAATTCACTGATATATTGAATTTTTGTCTAATCGTACTTATAGGGTTCGATTTTATTTCGAAATCTGCTTTGAAATCGGACCGGTCGGATGATTGAGAACTGTATAATTAATATGCATGCATGCATGCACGGTTCGCTTCTTGTACTCCAAATTCCTTTAAGCGGAGATTTTGTGGGTTAATGTTTGTGTGAGGTTGTTCATTAATAATTAATGTATTTTCCAGTATTATTATTTAAAAAGACATAACACAGTCCTTAATTAGAATTCTGCAATCCGCCTTAAAATTATTACAAAATTAAAGGATAAACATTGAATAAATAAGACTATATAATATAATATAATGGTTCAAGTTTTCTGTATTCTTTATCCTTTTCATCTTCCACATAGAAATATACACGGTTTTATATACATAAATTTAAAAAGAAATTCTTTATGTAAATTTTCTATATGTTTGCGGTGTGCAAAATCCAGTCCAATATTATTAGTTATCCGACAAAATGTGACAATGCCATTAATGTTAAAACTTAAAAAAAACACAATATATATATATATATATAAGATAAAAGAAATGTATATATTTATAATATACGTTGTTATATATATATGGCGGAGGGGATGACAGTCAGAAACCAGCTTTCGTGAGTGTCAGATGAATAAAGCACAAAGCTCATCACACGTCACATCAATAACTAAATCTACGGCTCAGGATTCACTGCGACTATACTCCATCAATCCTCACCGTCCGTTTATTAATATCTGCGCATTTATTTCAACATAGCGTAATGAATAATGTTTTATTTAATGATATACCCAAATAGTGATAATTACCTCAGTGCCATATATTTATGCTGCCGTTTAACATCTGCCTTCTGAGTTTTATGATTTTTGTCGGTCCAAACTCCCTATGCAGTTTGATTTTAAAATGAGAATTCACTCTATATTATTGTTTTTGAAATTTTATGTAACATTATTCATGATATATATTAGTTACTTGCTCAAAGCACATCTCCACGGGGTTTATTGGAGATATACCAAGAGTGCATGTGTGTGTGTATATATATATATTGTAAATTAAATTAAAAAGGAAAGCTAATGTAGGTTTATGGGGAAATGGATGGATAGGGCATGAAATTTAACAGAGGCTGCAATGAACTGTAAACTAAAAACCAATAAAAGCAGTTCTGACCAAACTCTCTTGCCATTGGCCAACCCTCTCCCCACTAGATTCACACATCCACTCCTCATTTCTTTCTTTTTCTTTTTTGTTCCCTAAAACCCTAAAAATGGAAGAAGAAAAAAAAATGAAAGCATTTCCCTTTTTTTCTTTCGCATATTTTATTTTAAATATCTCGTGAAATAATTAGGTGGTGTTACATGAAATGTACCTCTAGGTATATGCCGTGACAACTTGGGGCAGCATTCATTCATTCATGCTATCATAATTACTTGGAGGTTTTTTATACAGAAGTATTCCATCAAATCCCCCAAAGAAAAAACCCTGCAATTCAAGAGAAAGAG